CTAGGAAGTTGTGTTCGGTTCGTTTGTCTCCTCTTGGTTGGTTTGGAATCAGGGTTTGTGGTCAATTGCCCTAGGTGGAAAACTAGTGGTCCACCAACCCGGTTATAGCCCCGGATGTCAGCTTTTCGTCCTCTCACTTTGGTGGCAAAACACCTCCGCTACGAGAAGGCAATGAGTAGGGCTTTCTCAGCAGAGACTATTAGAGATGCTTGGTCGTGTGGGGGCATTTCGCGAGGTACAAGGGGAGGGTGACCAGCCGCAATCCTAGACACCCACCCCCGACCATACTGAGGCTTTTGGAAGCTCTGCCATCCTACTTTCTTGATAGGGAGCTTTGCTGCCCTCCGGTTCAATACTATGCAAAATCTGGTGGGACCTCATGTGGTTCGCCGCTCGGCTTAAGTTGCCGGTTTCCGTCATTGAGCAGCAGGTCCTTGTGACTATGGGGTCCATCTCGTCTGCTGTTCATCATACATGCGTGTGTGTGTATGTGTTTAATAAAAACGCCCGAAACAGCTGATCTTATCAGGGTTGCGTAACCGAAGCTTCAAAACAATGGAATCTTCATCCGTAAGGCAACACGACCATGTATAAACATAGCCAATCTAAAGGGGCCGGTGTCCTTCAATCCTATCTTACGACCTTAAAACACATTTCACACTACCATGGTTCCCAAGATGCTTTATTATTCAACCAAGCCAGTGATCGTCCTGATCAGAGTATCCTTGTGTCAGTTCACGTGCACGTCTCTTCTTCTTCTTCGGGGTTTGGAAACAGTCTTCGAATCCCCGTAAATGAACTAGTGGACCGTATCTTATCAAATCGGGTGTAGAGCGTAATACCGTCTGTTTGCTTTGGGAAACAAATGAGTAGAACTTCCTTGCAGAATATATATATGTATATATATATATATTACACGGAAATACATGAATAACTGTTGATGAAACGTCTTGTCATAGAAAATGAAAATGTTGTTCAATACTAAATTTATAACGTCGAACGGTGAGGAGGTCAACCATATAGTGTCGAATGCAAAGATAGCGCTGTACGGCTTTGAGTATTCTATCCGATAAGCATTAACGCTTTCGGTCATTCAGCTCCGTAATTGACCCCTTTCTTTATGTCTTTCTCTTTTCTAGGCCGTTTGAACGTACTATTTCCATATACAAGAACAGCTCCGGTGTGGTTGGGATTGACCTACAGAACGGTCTGATCAGGGCGATTCACAAAGATTCTAGCGCTGCTCGAAATGGCGTCCCGATCAATCACCAAATCGTGGAAGTAAACGGTCAGAATGTGATGGGCATGAAAGACAAGGAGCTTTGTGCAATGATTACCGGGATTCAGGGCATGTTGACTTTGACAATTATACCCCGTATAATGTTCGACCACCTGGTTAAGCAGTAAGTAATTCCAATGTTTATTGATCTACTGCCGATCTTATGCCTATTTCTGCTCAACGTTGTTGTCAACTGGAAATGATCATAATTCATTTTGAACTCAGCTTCAGACAGTAAATTGTGGTTTATGTGCTCGGCTAAGA